CATGCATGAAAACAGATGGCAATTCACACTGGCGCCAGGCGCCCACACAAAGCTCAGAGATCTCAAGACCGAATACATAGTTCAGATTCAAACTCGCTTCAAATGTGGCTATGGCGCCTGCGCACCCTCACATCACCCTTCCGATACTGCATTGACAGCAGCAACTGTTCACACGCATTTTACTCTGGATCACTCTGAATGTCCCACACACGCACACAACTCACTGCACACTATACACACACACACCCTTAGTCTATCTTCTACGCTACCTCCCTCACTAACTGGCGGCTATGGGCGCTTCATTTCCCTCTTCTCGCTCGGGCACCTGCAGACCTCCTTGCACAAGTCGCTCTGGCAGCGCTTCCGCACGGCTCGCAGTCTGATGAATGAATAGCTGGATGTTGCCGCTTGATTTATACTTCTGTTGGCCGCTGGTCTGCTCCTTTCCACCGGGCCCAGGGTGCACACAGTCGCATATGGTACTTGCTGACTGGACAAAGTGAGTCTGGGACTGGATACCCCTGACTAGACAAAGTTGGACTACCGACTTGCCTCCTCTGGTCTAACGTGAACTCTTTTTTTTTTTTCTTTTTTTTCTCGTTTTTCTTGCTAGTACTCATCTATCTCATCCTCTCACTAGTCTATGTATAGTACGGGGGAACATCAACCAACCCGGATCTCTCCCCAGCCCACGGGGTAGGTTGGCACCACAGCAGTGGTGCGAGAGCAAGGCTGTACCAGTCCCTCATGACGGCGACGAGGGGTGGGCAGGCATTGCCGATGGGGGAAATCGGCCGTGCTAGCGCCGAGCAATGGCCAGTCACTGCACCTCCCCCTACCCCCACCCAAACCCCACATGCCGGTGTCTAGTGGCCAATATTGTCGCTGCATAGCAACCAACAACATCAACCAAGGTCCAATGGGGATTGAACCCACGACCTCCTGAATGCAACTTCTGTGCCTTACCAACTGAGCTAGGCTCGCAGGCCAACGTGAACAACTCTCGAATGGCCACTTCCGGCCCTTCCGGAAGTCTGTCGACTTGGCCTTTCAGGACTGTAACAGCTACGACTCCTACACAGCTGCGACCCTTAATTCACCGAACTCCGGATCGAAACCCGACAGCTACACAGGCCCACGACAGACAACAGTCAACTACCAAGACACAGGTCACGGGTTCAAACACACACGAGGTCGACTTGATACTGTACACGGGTGAGGTCGGGGTCTACGGATCCAGCCCTGGAATCTCCGTCTGCTACTGCAAAGGTGAAAACCGTTTCAATGAGCTCCTTCCAATACTAATGGTTGTACAAGTATCAGCGACTCCCCTCTAACACGATGTCAAACCGACCGCCATTCGGTCAGACATAGCACCACTTCATAAAGCATGCGTTCCGACGACTCCTATCCCCTAACACTCATCATATACACATCTTGCGATCGCCCGTCACACAAACGAGTCCATCCTTGCCGCACAACTTCCTCACCCAAGTGACGCTTTGCATCCTGGACCACTTACAGACCACCGCGCCTCATTGATTCGAGATCTCCATCGCCATCCAGTTCACTTCTGCCACATCTTGCTCGGCACCGAAAAGCCTCTGCTTCGATTAGATCCTCGCGCAGTCAAACCGACTGACCCCAACACCATCACTTCCCGATTCACAAGACACTGTTGAGGTACCTGGACCTCGAGGTCGAGAAGCAGTAGTCGCACGCAAGGGGGGAGAAAATGCGTGCCTGCCACTCCTACAGTCCGCGGAGATAAAAAGAAAAGAAGAGAAAAGGCAAACAGAATAACACTAGGCCTATTTTTAAGCTCACCGCATCCGGCGTTTTTCCACTGAACACATCTACCCTGCTGCACGCCTCTCCGAGACCTCTGCTTGGTCGTCTTTCGTGCACGCCCTGGCAAGTAAAGCGATAAATGGGATGCACGTCATGTACACGAACGACTTCGAAACGTCAAACCGTGTGAAACTCGTCGGGACTGCGAAACTTCAGGAAAAAAAAAAAAAAAAAACCGTCTCTACAAGTCCCTAATCATTCCATTAAAAAAAAAAAAAAGAAAAAAAAAAGGCCTCTAAAAGTCCCTAATCATGCCATTTTTCAAGTCGTTCATTTCCCTTCTCCAGCCGCCGTTTTCGTATCCCGACGATATACGCAGCCCTGATTCAAACACAAACAGGAGGCAGAGGCTTGAACCGATCGTCCGATCGTCTTACAAACCATACGAGGAAGTGTGGACGACTGGCGCGCGCAATATTGCCAGTTTCAGCGCCGCTACGCTCACGCATCGCCATGGCCGATGGATGAATGATTGATTTATCCGTCTCCTCAAAAAACCCGATCGAGCCTTTGATTGATGCATTCAGCATCGCTCAATCCTCCCGATCGAGCCTTTGATTGATACAATCATCATCGCTCAATCCTCCACGACAAGGTGGAAACGCACACTATCAAGGCATGATAGCAAAATGAAAGCTTCGCGATCTGCTGCCTCCCTTAAGCAGTCTCAACATCGGCGCACTTTCTCCACTTCAAGAAGTACTTCTGCTTCTCGATGGACAGCACGCCCCGAACACCACGACCTTTCACACGGGCAGCCACATTGATCTGAAGGTACCTCTCGTTGTTGCACGGAGACCAATAAAGCGGCTCCTCGAAAGTCCTATTGCCCGTCTGGAACTTCTCCGTCTTGGGACCGTCCATTGAGATGGGCAGAATGGCACAGTTCTTCCCGTCACCCTGGAAGTAGTAGTACGCGTCCTGAATCCCGGTCGCCCCATCATCGAGGTCGACAGATCCGTCGAACTCAGCAGAGGCGAGAGCATAGCTCCATCCCGCAGGGTGCGTCATGACTACGCTGTAATGACAGTTCTTCCTGGAGTCGGAGATAGAAGCGCCGGGTCCCGACTTGGCAACGATCTTCACGTCGGTATCATCAGGGATGGGAGTGAAAGATCTCGCGTCTTTCGACAAGACCCCTTTCACGGCGCCATGTCCACATCCGGATCCCGCGTACGTGACCTCCTCGAGTACAACGAGAGTAGGGTCCGGAGAGGGGCCGTTATCCACACCGTCGACACCGTCTTCCACGCCCCCTCCCTGATGAGAGATTGGATATGCTGCCCCGGCGTAAGGCGACGACGCGTCCTTCATCTCGCCCATTTCCCGGCTCATACGGATACCCTCGCTCTGCCCTTCTTGTGTGAAGGATAATAACAAAAAGGCGCTACCGAGCGCCATCACCAACACTGCGATCTTCATGATGAACTCGTGGAGCGGCTTCCGGCGTGGTTCGCCGGCAAACAACGGCTGGCGGACCGTCGTCACCGCCGTGCCGTCGAGCGTGGCGCTGGGTTGAGCTATGGTAGCCAGTGAGATGTACGGCCACAGCAGCGACCGCAGCACAACGAGCGAAAGAGGGAGGGAAAGATGCGACACACAGCAAGAGGGCAGCGCACAATGCAGAAACGCGCAGCACGCTCAAGAGTAGACAGCAGAATCCACCCACGATGACTAAAGGCCGGAGAATAAAGGTAAACTATCTTCTATGCAAATCGCAATAGGCCGTAGAATAAAAGTGAACTATGTGCTATGCAAATCGCAATTTCGCAAAGGCGCTGGTACGTTTTCTACTAAGCCTTGGACGTTTTCTATGCAAATCGCAATTTCGCAAAGGCGCTGATCACAATTGCAATCAGGTACACTTGGGAAAGTGCCAGCGTATGTATACCCGTTTGGAAAGCGAACGAAACCAGCATGAAGGGCAGCGTCGCCATTCGCTGCCTTCTCTTCTGTCGAAGCGAACGCTCAACGCCCGTTCGTCGGCAGCGGCACCGCTGTGCTGGCACTGCTCTCCGGCCGTGGAAATCATGCCCCTTCATGCGTTGCCATCTGGCCGTTCTCGCCTCTGCGCCCTATCGGTAGGTTGTCTTCTGTGACCTACAGAGGACTCCATGTGCTAACGCTGACGCGACGAAGCGGCTGGAAGCGAATAGACGCCCATCGGACTGTCGAATTTCATATGCCACTTGACAGCTCCCCGCATGTACCGTCGATCGGGTGCATGCAGAGGACATTCGTCGTCCATTTGGCAGCCACTGTCAAGTGGCGTCAACTACTGACTGATAGTCCGCGCCAGGCCCGGGAAAGCGGGAAGGGGAGGCCGCCGGCTGTTGTCGGGCCTACGCGAGTCCAAAAACTGCCCATACGCAAAACGCAGTTCGGTTCTTCGGAACATCCGTTAATTTTTTTTCTTTATATAGGGGCTCGCCACACCTATCCCGAAAACCGGGTTTTGGAGAGCGGGATTTTTTTTGGAGAGCTGTCTACAATTAGGAGTAGTGGTAGGTAGGTAGTGTGAGGTGAAATTGAGAGAAGAATATAGCTAAAAAAAAATAAAAAAAAATAATAATAAAAAAAAGAAGGCGGGTTTGGAGAGCGTTCTCCAAATTTGACCCTCCGCCCGCCTGCACACGCGCTCGTTTGGAGAGCGCTCCCAAGGAAAACCCAAACCCACCCGAAACTCGCGAGTGTCTGACAAGTGTCTGTGGCCTGCAATTTGTCATGTACGGTTAGGTCTCCAACCGCGGAGGTGCCTTGGGACGACGCCAGCCCCGTCGCGTAATGTACACAGTCGAGGATCCTGGTCTTGTCCGTGCGAGATTTCGCTCTACCGTGGAAATTCATTGGAGAGTGCAGTGTGGCGAGGACGCCTCCCGAAGGGATTTTCGCCAACTTCCGCGTGGGAGAGCGCTCTCCAAAAAAAAGAGTTTTGGGGATAGGTGTGGCGAGCCCCATAATAACATACCAAGANAAAAAAAAAAAACACTGGCCTTGTATCTAGATTAGCGTGACGGTGTGGGACGGGTGGGGGACAGGTGGGCGGCAGCGTGAAATAGGGAAGATAAACGCAAAAAACCATTTCATCACTAAACAAATGAAGAAAAAACTACTAAAAAGGAAAAGAAAGTGCTCTTCTCACAGATGGTGTCTGCTCCAGGCGGGGTGTCAAATGTCAGGGTACGATTCACTGACCATGGCTGTGGCAGTCAAGACGACTGCATGTGAGGGGGCACACGGACCATATTCATTGACAATAGTCTGAGGATTCCTTGAAATAGGCCACAGTGCACCCTGTTCGGTTGTTCTGACAGAAATTCTCTTTGGCAAAGGAGGGCAAGAGTAACTCCATACACCATTTGCTGTGGGTGAGGGGATCGAACCCTCCCAAACATCTCCCAAACCACAATCAATTTCCCGCGATGAAGCCATTTGTCTTTGCCTTCGCCGTGAATGAAACGTGCATGATTTCATTACCCAAAAAAATTGGTCTCGAACCCCACAGCAAAAACGAAAGAAAAACCTACCAATGGGAGAGCAAAAAAGAAAGTTCCTTTTCCCAGATCAGTACTTGGCACATACATGGGCAGCGGGCCTTACCCGTTAACGCGCCGCAACTTTCACGGGTCGGGGAAGGTCCGGTCGTGCGATGGAGGAAGTTGTTGGGCCCAGGGAAAGTTGCGAATGGACTGCAATATGGCCTCTTGGATTTCCGTGCATGTGGAAACATGCACGGACGCTCTGTGCAGTGCCATACAAAAGAAAAAGAAAGGAAACCTGTGAGGACGAGAAAAGAAAAACGAAAAGTAACGTTGGCATGCATCCGGATGCAGTTTTGGCCTGAAGCAGATGACGTGAGCAATGCTTTGTTTTTTTCCTTTTTTTAGCAAGAGAGATTCCTGGCAGTTTCTCAGCTGACTCCCCGTCGGAAACGGGGAGCATCCAACTGCCTGCCAGGAAAGTAGCGTTTCTTCCCATTTTCGTTTCATTTTTCTTGCAAAAAAAAAAGAAAAAACGAGCCAACAAATGTCCCAAAGGGGCGGTACCAGTGTCAGCCAACAAATGTCCGGAATAGATTCCTGCCCCCCACAGGCTCGGAAAAAAATGGTGCGCAGGTCCATTTTAGGCTCAGCATGAATAGCCGAGCCAAGTACTGGTGGTTTAAGTTACAAAACTAAGTTACAAAAACTGGCTACCGCTGATTTCCTGCCGAATCCACGATGCGTGACAGCCACACACCTCAAACACTAATCCGCATACACTCCACATACATCGGTAGTGGGATCTCGCCCCGGGGGCCAAGTCCCACATGCACCATTGAACTAGTTCAACGCAACGGTGTGACACGGTTCTTGCGACTTAAGAACTCGAAAGAAAGGCAAAAAAGGAGAATCAACTGCTGCTGAAAGTTTTTTTTCCCCTGTTTTCCAAAAACAAAAATGAAGAACCAAATGTTGCTCAAAAGTTTTGTCGGTATTTCCTGAAAAGTAAAATGAAGAAATACAACAACCCTGAGTGAAAGGCTCCACATACTATGCAAAGTCCGAGGCAGTGACTCGCTAGAAAGTGAATGAACGTGGACAGTACCCTGGCTTGGTGCATTTACATAAACGAGTTTGGGACTGCACGGCCAACGACAGCACGAACACCCTCTGTCAGACTGTCCTCCCACGGCTGTCAGAGAGTCCTCCCACGAGGAGGTAATTATGCCACAAGCACCGTTGAACCCATACCCCACCCCAAGTGGATATGTAGTTGAACGGAAGATGGGCAGGGTAGGGGACGTTGTATTAGTGTGGATGGATTTTTTAGCACTTTTCTTGAACCAAAAAAAAGAAACAAAAGTCTTTACATTTCTGCTACCTAAAAACAACCCCTAGATGCGCCGCTCCACATGCATCTCCAACGTCGTGCGGGGTCACACGCGTTGGACTTGTTCAACGTTGAACTAGTTCAACCGTGTATGGGACTTGGCCCCGGGGACCTCACAATTCAACCCTGGATACTGACAGCATCAGCCAGCTTAGCTCACAGGCTTTGCCTGTGGAACCCAGCGCTCTGGAGTTCCATATTACAAAACTAAATACCGTTGTAACTGCACTTGAACATGGAGAAAAATTGACCTTGCTTTCAATTTTAGTTAAGTCGAGCACGCCTAATCCTGCCTTTTATGTCCTCCCAGTGAGAAAAGGTAAAATCACATTTTGTGCTTTATTCGTGCGAAATTTATTTGTGCGAAATTTAATGTTAAGCACAATTTAATTTATTTATTTTTTAAATCATAATTTCATGATTTTTGCACTTTTCTGCAAGAAGTTGCCAGGTCTGTGGTGGTGGGCCGTTGTCGGAACAGTGACAAAGCGGATCTTGTTTTTAGTACTGTAGTGGGAATTCTTTCCCCCCCCCCCTTTTCTTTTGAAAAGAGCAACGGCCTTGAGATATCACTGTATAACTGAATATCCCCAGGTAATTCAGACTACCAATTTTTGATTTTTAATTCATCTATCTCCATCTGGATTCAAACTCAGGTCTTTATTTCAACAGTTCATGGGGTATCAACTGAGCTAGGCTCGTTGGTTGGAGTGGGAGTTTCATTTTTGCTAGGCTCGTTGGTTGGAGTAGGAGTTTCATTTTTGGCATTTTGCACTCTTGTGCAAGATGGTGCCATGGAAGCAACGGTCTGTGATGGTGGTGTCTTGTTAGAAGAGTGACAATGTGGAAATTACCTTGTACTGAAGTGGAAGTTTTTTTCACTTCGGCATTTTTCACTTTTCTGCAAGATGTTGCCACGGAAGCAACGGTCTGTGATGGTGGCGGTCTTGTCAGAAGAGTGACAATGTGGAAATTTCCCTGTACTCGAGTGGAAGTTTCACTTTTACACTTTTCCGCAAGCAGTTGCCATGGAAGAAATGATCTGTGATACAGTGGTGCCTTGTTGGAAGAGTGATTAGACCCCTTCCTTCCTTTCTGCCTCCTCCTCCCTTCCCCCCCCGCCCCCCAACACACGCACAAGTGGTAACCACACTAGGTCTGGATTTTCTCCGACTGGACTGCCAAAAACTAGTTTGACACTGGACCTTGTAAGGCTTGCAGGTCAGTCTCTGGAGGCAGTGGTGATTTAACTACCAAGTAACGGGTACAATCAAAGATAGATCGTTTGATTACGTGCCACTTGGTTTGCCTCTGTCTCTGACAAGGATAGACCAACTTTGCCTTCTGCATTCTTTTCTCCTCTCTCCTAGTACTGTTTCGGAATTCAGCGGAGCATCAACCTTTTCTAATCTAGGCGAACTCCGTCCAGCTGTCAAAAGCCACAGAACTTTACCAAAGACAACTTCCTTCTTGCCAGACGTTCCTCTCTGTGCACTATCTGCAAGACCAGTGCATACAGCTGCTGGTGTGCACTCGACTCTCTCTCTCTCTCTCACACACACATACACACACACACACACACGCACACACACAGTGCCCAGCTATGGCTGGCTGGCACTGCTCCCCACTGACTGGCTGTGCCTCCCTTGGTGCTACCCCAGCAGCCTCATGGCTGACATCCAGCCGGACTGAACACTGTTGGCTGCCCAGGTGGCTTTTTGTCCATTCTGGGAAGCGTCACTCTGGTTCCTATTCCACCAGCAAGTCGAGAATACAGCTTGCAACACACTCAAAACGCTTCCCCCGTTACGCTTGGGAGACCCAAGTGGATGGCATTGATTACTTGCAGAAGACTGAGGTAAACTTGGGGATGCTCTTGTCTGTGATGAATGTACACAATTGTTTATCATTACAGGTTTGCAGAGACACGAC